GCCTTAATTTCTAGCCTGTGTGGTAGGAGCGATGCCCCACAGATTTAGCCAATTTGCTCAAGATTTCTGGCCTCAAGTCTCAAGCGCCTCTTGCAAAGTTCTGTTCTGAGCGCCTCCCTGGCATTTGCTAGGTCTCAGGTCAGTTCCACCTCAAAATAGCCTTCGTTGTCTTTTCCAATAGATGTTTATCTAGTACCTACTGCACACTGGGCAGCGTTTTAGGCATGGAGGAACTCAGTGGGACACCTGCCCTGTGGTGCTTCTTATCAGGCAAGAAGAGAGAGACGCAAAAACACAAACAACTTGTAAAATGGTCTTTTACAAAGTAAGTGATGGGGGGGGGGGGAAATTGAGCCAAATAAAGGGAGGTCAGGAATATAGAGCAGGCTCACAGGAGGAGATGGCAGAGTTCTAGGCGGGAACAGGGTGGGCCCTGGAGGGAGTACTGGTCTGCTTGTAAACAGCAGGCTCGAGCACCTGTTAGAGGAGATGGGAGGGGCTGGGGCAGTGAGACAGATATTGGAGGACTTTGTGGGTCCCTGTAAGAACTCAGGCTGGGATCCTAAGTAAAATGGAGGCTTTGCAAAATTTGGAGCAAAGAAATGACATGACCTGTTTTATTTTAAAAGGATTTTAGGCGGAAACAGATACCTAATAGGAATTTCTGGAATAAGAAATATCTGTCAATTCTGCTTTGCTTGGTTACTCCTGGCAACACACCTTGAACACACCCTACCACCTCTCTAAGACTGTGGCAGAATCGTTGACTTCCCCAGCCTCCTGCTCCCCTCAAGTCCTCTCTACACCAGTACCAGAGCCAGCTTTGAGAGGTGACTCCAAGCTCTTAGCCAGCTTAGGAAGTTGTGTGCCATCCCTGGCCAGGGAGGTCCGGCCTTGACCACAGGTGTCTTTGTGCATGGGCATCTGTGAGGACAAGGCTGGGCTGTTGGGCCCTGGCGCACCGTCACTCACCTCCAGGGGACAATTCTAGGATCAAATTTTAGAACTTTGGAAGTTTTATTTCAGTCCTATGCATTATTTATATTTCACCGTGCTTTCCTCATTGTATCTAACAATGAAGCATTGTGTGCAGTGGCTCCCTCCCAAGAAGAAAGCAAGGACCCATGCGTGTGTGCTGCCCTTATTTTCCCTGTTACTCCACAAAAGCAACGAAACATGCAATTTAACAAGCGGGTTACACAGCGCACAGTGCGTGTCGCCTTTCCTTCTATTGCGGGCATCTCCGCCCCCCCCCCCATTCTTTGTGGGCAGGCCACCCCATTCTTTGTGCCACGTGTAATGTTCCACACTGTGCTCCACCCTGCCCCCATCCCGACACCGAGGAACATTAGGTGGTTTCCACTCATTTGCACAACATTGCGTGCATGTAGCACCCCAGAAGGAACTCTGTTCGTCTGCAAAATTAAACACATCGCATGGGGTTATGAAAAATGAAAACAGCCTTAGAAAACCACATCTGAATCTTCCAGTGCCCCCCACCCCCCACGCCTGGGACCAGACATGTCGTTTTCCAATGGCAGGAACCACCGCGGGTTCCTTCAGCCTGGGGTTCTGGCCTCCTGGCGCGCGACTTTGGAACCGGGTGTTCCTCCCCACAGGTCCCGTTTGCCACCCGGCACCGCACGGCGGCGCACAGCCTGAGGTCTTCCCTAGAAGCAGGCTCGCTCGCCGTGGCGGTTCCCAGATAGGCCGCTAGGGGACGCCCCAGGCCGGGCCGAGTAGCCTCGGGCTCGCGAGCGCTGACTGGCCTGCTGAGTCTGGCAAGAGGTGGTGTCGAACCCCGGCGCGGCAGCCTCCCCCGCGTCTTTGCAGAAGCCAGATCCCGCCCCTACTACCCAGGCTGCGCTGTGCAGCTCAGCCTCTTGTCCTATTGACCTGGGGCTGCCAAGCAGCACCCCTCCCCTAGCGAGATCCCTCCTGAGGCACAAAACCCGGGGCTAGCAGGGGTCGTTCCTGTCGAATGCTATCCATTCACTCCCTCCAGTGCCTCCATTTCTCCAGAGGCCTGGACGTCATGCCCACCAGCGTCCTGCCCATTCCTGCTGTCAGTACAGTGCTTTCTGCACTCTGCCCTCCTGGAGGCTTCTGGGGGACCGCAGAAAAGATGAAAGAAGCTGCCTGCAGGAGCCAGACTCCATCGTGATTTTGCTATGTCGTCTCTGCTCTGGACTCAGGGCAACAAAGACGCTCAATGGGGGGAATCACTGAGAGGTCTTAAGTGGGGAGAAAAAAATAAGAGGATAGGCTGGAAGTTTGGGCCAGAGAGCTGCGGTAGGTGGTGTGTGTGTGTGTGTGTGTGTGTGTGTGTGTGTGTGGCCACGGAGCTTCTGCTCTGAGACCCCCCAGGTCACATGGGACAAGCATCCAGGTGGGGATGGAGATGGGTGGGTGAGGCAGGTTGGCCTCACTCTCCACAGTTCCTTTTGACCTGGAACTGTGGAGAGTGAACTGACTTAGTTCTTCCTGGCAGAGGGAGAAGGGAGTGGCACCACTCACATCTTGGTTCCAGCCCTCTTGGGTGCCCCAGCCAACTTTGCTCCTCGGAGGGAAGGAACATGCCCACCACTAATCCAATCAGGCTACAGTCCCAAACGCTGTTGGTTTTTTCTTGTCTGGCACTGTTTTCAAAACATAGACTCAGCATTGCCAGTGGTTGTCTAACCAGAAAACTAGGTCCCAGGGTAGCGGTCTCTGGATTGTGTGGTGGCAGGCAAGCCTCTTACCTCCCAAGAACCCTGCTCACCTTGCCGGCTTGCACAGGCAGCTGGGAGTGATGGAGGAAGGCATGCAAGGAGGCATCACAAGACCTGAGTCCCACAAAGAGGACAGGTAGAAGGGGCTAGTGCTGCAACTGACACAGCCCTAAAATCGAGGTCCTCAGGTTCCAAAGCCCAATGCAGGGACGTCAGCAGGGATGTCTGGATGTCTGCAGGAAGTCCCAGCCGGTAACAGACTGTTGGGGGCCGTGTCTGAAGCTCAGACCCAAAAGGTAAAAGATAAGGACATGGAGATGCAGCTCATCAGGAATCTCTGGTCCTCTCAGGTTCTATTCAATGTCATCAAACCTGGGCTCACAAGGAGAGAGCCCCTCCCAAGGAGAAGCTGCCTAGTCAGGGCAGTCTCTCCACCAGCACGGGGCAGCCACTGCTCTGCCCACCTGTGCCGATGCAGGTGCTTCTTTCCACCCGCTCTCTCCTCTGCAGGGCAGCAGCCTCCTGCCTGCCCGGGACTCCTCTGCACTGACCTCCCCCAGTGGAGGCCGCTCTCCTAAGACCGCCTGCCTGCAGCCATGTAGGTCTTTCTCTCTGCAAACCTGTCCCTTTCGGGACAGCTCTTCCTGTCCGCTCGTGCCTATGCAAGTGTCTTTTCCTCTCCTGTCTCTTTCTAATAAACCTAATTTTTAAATATAACTGAGTCTCTGTTTCGTGGAGAATCTCACCGTGTGTGGCTGAAAGGGGAGCTCTGGTGAAACCTTTCCCAGAGTGAACCCGAGGAACCCGAACTCCAAAAAGATGACATCAGGAGTGCCTGAGCACAGTGGAAGGGGAGCTTCTGGTTTCAGCAACAGCAGTTTCTACCCGTCCTCTGGCCAAAGGAAGGATGGGGTCCCCTCAGATAGAAAATTGCAACCAGGAACGGCCAGGGTGCTCCAGGTGCAGAGTGCAGAGGAGACAGTTTCTTTTTGATGATCTCCTGACACCTGCAACAGACAACAAAGAGCAATAGCAACTGCCAAAAGCGACCCCTGAGTGTTCATCTGTCAGTAACCACAGAGCACCAGCGCCTCACTGTAGGGACAGGGGAGAGGGTGCTGTTTCCTTCAAGTCCTTGATATTCAGGATACAGCCCTTTCTGATGTCCCTACTGATTGCATTTTGGTTTCTTCCTCGAATACAACAGGTAGGAGGAAAACCATTTCCTCCGAAGTTTTAAAAACATTTTCTTAGGGCCCTCCCTGGTGGCATAGTGGGTTAAAACACAGCACTAAGAAGCTAAAGCCACTTCCGCGTGAGTTCTGTCCCCACCTGCCCCGGAGGTGACCCACATGGCGTGTCAGACCTCTCCTGACCCGCCCGCTGCTCCCCTCAGCAGTGTACTCAGTTCTGCTCCCCACTCTGTCTCTGGTGAATCCTCTCACCGTCCCTGTACCTCTGGCCTGTACCCCAGTTCTGTATGCATACATAAATAAATCTTTAAAAAACAAAACAAAACAAAAAACATTACCCTAGGATGCCTAAGGTCCTGGAGAAAGAGAAGGCTGGAGCAGGTAGGATGAGGGACTGAGGAGCCCAGACACTCCTGGCTCACTCCTGGCCTGATCGAAATTGGCTTAAAAGACAC